ATATATGTTACATTGTAATATTAGCCATATTAGCAACATTATAATTGTAGTCACATTTTAATATTAGTCGCATTACAATTTAAAGTTTCAAGTAAATGTACATTTCATTTTTTATGTGTATACTTTTACAAGAACTGGACTAGGAATCATAATACCTGAGCTTCCAAGAATACAAACCGGGACCAGTCGTTTCAGGACCAATTTATATAATAAATAGAATAATACAAAGAAAATTATAAGCAGGCAACTTAAATATTACTCCATAAAAGATAAGATAGTACAAGTATTCACATTTATTATACATAAAAATAAAATTATATATCTACATTTATAATCAAACGCTGCAAAGGAAACCCTAGAAGGGTGAGCAACCGATTAGTTGAGAAATGGCGAAGGCTCTTGATCGTCTAAGCTTCAAAACGCATATTAAAAAGTGATATGTACAATTGTATTAGTTTAGGATTCTTCTTCTGTCAATTTTAAATGTGGTGTTATGGCCTAATAGATGGTTTCTTCTCAAATTAATGATGCGTACTTCCAGACTATTATATTATTGTTCAATTGTCATTGATGACATTCATCGAGCTTTATTTTAAATATGCTTTTCTCAAATATACCATCATGCTTCTGAACCCATCTATGACGACAGTGTTGATCAGCCCTCCTCCGGAACCACTGCCACATAAGAAATGAGTAGTACAAGATTTTTATCAACTTATTTTGTACCAGGTTGAAATAGATATCATTGAATTTCAGATTGTCTAGATAATTCTGCAGATACAATGAAGTCAAGCTAGGACGCGACATAGATGACTTGTTTCTTTATTCTTTCATTATGTTAGTTTATTTGTTGTAATTTCGCACATTTAAGTACTTTGCCTTACTTTTTATTTATTCGTTTTGCTTTTGGTAAAGTTGTAATTGTTTCAAATCACTATAAAAAATGAAGACTTACATGGTGATGTTAAACTTTAATTTGTCCATTATATGCTTAGCAACTTACGTGACTTGTTTGAGTGTAGCAGAGTTAAAGTGTAACGTCGTCTCCAAATAAATTTACTTTTACAAAGTTATGTATTGAACCTTGAGAAATGAGTAATGAATTTTACGTGGTTGTAAATTTTTGTCATTTCTTTTTACGTGAATAGTAGAATGCACGTGGGGCCCATACCGGAGCGGGGACCACCTGATATTTTCTGGACAACATATTATTTTCATTTAGGTCTACATAATATTTATATGATGGTGTATATCCATTTTGGGCCATAGAAGCAATGTAGAGTCGGCCGGTTGAACATATTAAATATATATTCATTCTAGAAGCTCATAATAATTGAAAGAATGCTATATATTTTATTTGATCTGATAAAATGAAATTTAATTAAAACGGTTTAGAAAATACAACTTTTGGGACCAAGTGTGCACATCATGACATAAAAGGTATGACCTTCCACATGAGTGGGCCACCCACGATTTTAGTCTTTCAGCAAGGGGAGCCGAATTGGGATGTCATGAATTGAGTGGAGATGGGATTGGGATACAAAATGAGAAAGGAAAGGGGACCCTCCCGCAGTTTATTGTGAATAAGCCAAAAAGGGCGTTTCCATCACCCTATATCCCATTCCATCACCCTACATCCCATCCACTTGGTTCAAGAATCAATTAGGGAAAGAGAAGGTCTTCAAATACTCTATTTCCATCCACCATTTTTGCACCTAAGCCAAGGAGGAAGAAGGAAGGGAAAAGAGAAGAGAAAAGAGGAGGTTAGAGTGGAAAACTTGAGGTTTACAAGGTAATGACTCCATTAATCTCGTTTCTTTTCCTTAATCTTCTCCTATAATTATGTAAATAATTTGATAGACCTCTAGATTTGTTCTACACATTTAGAAGTGTAAAATGAGGGGTTGGAGGGTTGTTTTCTATCCAAAACGGACTTAGACAACAAAGTTGACCGGTTGGCCGGAAATTGACTGTTGAGAAGTTCTAGTTATTAATATGAGTCTTTGGGACACAAAACCTTGTTAGAGACTTGTTTAAGGTGAAGTTGAACTTCTCAAAGGGTTGAGAAGTGACCAGAGTGGTTGTCGGAGCTCGCCGAAGTTTCGCCGGAGCTCAACCGGGAGGCTAGAACTTCTTAAGGTTCATTTAAAGTGAAAAGACGACTTTATTCTTTTGAACTTTTGAATGAGGCATGAGATTACCTAAAGTAATCAAGAATATGTTTTATGAAATTATTAATCACATCTAAGTGTGTGATATGCCATGTTAAAGTATGATTATAATTTTTTTGATCATAAAAGAGCAATTTTATATTAAAAACGAGAATGCATACAAGATAACCTTCAGACAGACTTTACAGATCGAATCGTGAACCCTAGGAGTAGACATAGAGTAATTCACCTCATACAAATCAACCCAAATCGCTAAACGTGAAATGGGAAAATTTAAGCTTAAATGAACGAGTCTGAAACTCTGCCTATAAAAAGAACTCCAAAAATCCAAACTTTCAAACCAAATATACTTGGACTAAAACAGAAACAAGTACAACTAAAGAGAAAATAATATTGAAATAAAATCTTTCCTCAAAACTCTTCCTGTAATGGAGGTGGTTTCGCAGGAGGATGGGTTCTTGCAATATGGGTGAATACCAACTCCACCACCGTTGAAGCTGGCGACTAAGGCTTCACGATCAAGCATCGATACAACCTCCCAGGTGCAACTCGTTCATCCACCAACACTATCTCATCCGACGTAATTGCAATCTCAAACGTTAGAACATTTAAAAAAAAGTATAATATGTCGCTTCAGTCCCATATTGATAGGGGAGACGGCTGCTAAAGTATGATTATAATTGAAAAGCATAATCTGCGAGGTTGGTTATTAAAAATGTCATCATTTATTATGTTTGATGTTCCAAGGGTCCAAAAAGGTATTTTTGGATTGATTAACTTGAGATGTATATGTGTGTGAAAATTCAAGGAGAATTGACTTAGTTTGGGCGGTCAAACGGGCGTTGACTTCCATGTCAAAAATTTACCAAGTACACAAATGGACAATTTTTAGTGGTTCAACATGGATCGTTCTTGTGGGAACTGTCCATGATGACCACTAAGGAATTATATATGATTATAGGACTAGGAATAGTCCATAGAGAAATGTATGAGATGTTAGTCATATCCAAGTTAGGATTATAATAAGAATAGGAGGGATAGAGTGCCCTTGGACGATAAATTATCCTAAATACTCCAGGTTGGGCAGAGTAACTTTGAAAAGTAAATGATGCTAAATACTCCAGGTTGGGGTAGAGTACCTTTGGATCGTAAATGATCTTAAGTACTCCAAGTTGAGGTTGAGTATCTTTGGACGGTAAATGATCCTAAAACACTCGGTAGTATATACGATTGTAGGATGTAGCTTGTGACTAGGCATTCGGGGAAGGAATCAGAAAGATGTGGTAAAGACTTATTTCTCTAAAAGACTCTTTAAATGAAAATGATCTACGGGTTGAGTATTTTACAAGTATATACGGTATGTATCATCTTGTGGATGGGGCAACGGTAATTACACCTATAAATATATGTATCACCATATTTTTGGGTCTATTGTCTGAAACATTAGTTATTTCTCATATAATCTGCTTGTCACTAGTACTACTTTCTGTGGAGTATTGACTCCTTCGGGGGCCTCACTATTTTCAGGTTAAGGCTAGTCCTACTACCTTCACCTTTGCCTAGGGTGATTCATCACTAAGGAAGTAAGGAAGACTTTATTCGTGCTTCCATTCTTATTTCAAATTATGGAATTGTTCATGGATATTTAAACATTGTTTTCTATTAAACATTTAGAGGCCTGCATGCTCATGTTTGCCACATGTGGCTAAATATCAGACATATTATTATTTTCAGATTTTGTTTGATTATGATATTGATGTTAATTGTATGTGTTTACTAATCGATTTGGCAATAGAACCTATCGGACACTTTGTATAATTCAATAGGGATGAACTACTAATTTTCTTATTGGGTTGTATGGTAGTTGTCTACATGGCACAGATGCGATCCAAGGCGTGACACAAAATCTAAAATTGAGCTTATGAAGTTAGTATGATCTTGAGTCTATTGTAATGTGATTAATGCAATGTGGCAAGTGCAGACGAATTCCACCCGGTGTAAGATCTCGGTTTGGGATCCATTCAGAACAACAAAAAAGACCTTTCCATTTTAGAACATCCTAATCTGTTTGGTTGTCCGCCTCTAGGGATGGAGTCGGTTCAGGCCAGGCCAGGTTCGGGCCTTGAACCGGCCGGGCCTCGGTTCAAGGTATGGGAGGCCCGAAACCGGCCTGGGTAACCCCCGGGTCCGGGCCCAGCCGGGCCTCGGTTATATTTTTTTTTTTTTGGCTTTTCCTAGTTAACCCCCGACCCTCCCCCTCACCCCCAAACCAACCCTAACCACCTCAAATGGCCTAAAATACTCAGCCCAACCCAAAAACTTAAACAATAAAAAAAAAAAAAGGCCCGGCCCGAGCCCGAACCGGCCGGTTCACCTTTTGAAGGGCCCGAGCCCGAACCGAGATCCCACCTGGCCAGGTGGCCCGAACCGGCCAACCAACCGGTTAACTGGGGCGGTCCGAGCCCGCACAGTAGCGGGCCGGTCCGGTTCCGGGCCAGTTGGCCCGGCCTGAGTCCACCCCTATCCGCCTCTAGTTATACTAAAATTGCTTAAATGTATTCATGTATTGATTTAACTAAATATAGATCGTATGCATCTTTGCATGCTTTTTTTCAACAAATTATACAAAAAGATAAATTCATTTCATCTATAATCATCTAACACGACTTCACATTGAAATAAAAGATATTCGATCTCAATTTATCTGACACTGAAAGTAGACGACAAGTTTTCAATGTGACCATGGGTATATTTTGTTGAACAAAACTAATTCAACAAAATTATACTAACTTTTTATAAGAACTATAGAATAAAATATGAGAAAATTAGTTGATCCAAATTTACCTGAAAATTGTAAGATGAGAATGATAGATAACTCGCGGTGAAAATGGCTCTTCAAAATAAATGGAGGGTAATAGTGTAATACACAACAATTTGAAACTCCAACTACAAAAGGAATGCCAAACAAGTTCATATTTTTCATAATTGTACTGATCGATGGATGCAATATGCCCATTTATTTACATTGGGATCGACCATTTTATTAAGCCATTTAACTTACTAGAATACTAGGCATTATTAGGCACAGGTTTAACTGAAATCATGTAGAATTTTCAGCAGACCCTTCATAACCATAAGGGTTTTTGCTGGCCCAATTCCACTGATCTTGGCACATCTCTTCAATTGTATACTTTGCCCTGCAAATTAGCAAGTAATTCATAAGGCGGGAGCTGCCGAAGGGGCGGAATGGGGGTGGGTGAGAATGATACTGCCACATTATTTCTTTCATTCATTGAATAATTAACTTACTTCCAGTTTAGCTCCCGTTCTGCTTTCTCAGTTGCTGCGTAGACAACTTCAGCATCACCTGCTCGTCGCCCAGCCATCACCAATGGAATTTTCTATAAGAACAAAAGATGTCTTGTTACTCGCTATATATTGTGGTTGAAGGGACGACAACTTAAGTCTTCAAATTCCAAGAGAATTATTACTACGTATATTGTTATTCTATTAAACCAATCCCTAACATGAATTGGTACAAGATATCTTTCTAGCTGTTGGAGTCATATCAAGACAACAACTTTAGCTCAACGTGGGAAGTCAAATCCATCATGTTGTGGATACTATACAGTATAACATTTTCTATATGGGAGAAAGCTCAAAATTGACATTAAGGTTATTTAAGAAACTCATATTAGACACTAAACTTTTAATTAGACCAAATTCACACAAACTATACGTTTTTACATCACATTTGGACACTCCTCATGTCAGACTTAAATGAATGGCTTTACCCCGTCAATTATCGAACGGCTTTAACCTGTCAATTATCAGGTTACCGTCTCTCTTCCCATTAAAAACGCCAGCTCCAATTTCTTCCCCGGCAGAACACTAAACTTTATCAGACTCCATAGATAGCAGCCAACTTTTTTGAAAAGCCAGACCCAGCACATATACCTCCTTCCTTTTCGCCCAAAACACTGTTTTGACTATGGAAATGGTAATGCACAAAGTGGCAGGGGAGGAATTGATTGACCACAGTGCTACTCGTATGTGAATTAATTCCATTTGGTCAACCGAGATTGAGGAGTTCATCCTTTTTTGGGTAATATTTCTCACCCATACTCATTGGAAACAACAGTATGTGAACTAATGGTCAAGGTATGGGTTTCCTTGATTTTGGAGGAAAATAATGGTATGGCCATATGGTTGGACTGAATCTGGCTTAATAGAAGAATAAATGATTAAATGAAACCAGATCGAGGGAGTGAAGCTGGAGAATCAATTTGGATAGCACTAATAGCTTCCTCCAAGTACTCGATGCTGATGGAATTGTAGTCTTGGGCTCCGCGAGAGATGATTTTTCCATGAAAGAAGCTGTGGGCGGAGAAGGGCGAGACGAGTTGTGGGCAAAGAAGAGTGAGATGGGGGTGGAAAGAGAAGGGTGAGGGACCACTTGGAGGCCTTGACGGGACAGGATGAAGATGTAAATTGAAGAATGAAGATAGAGGAAAGTGAAGGTTTGGAGAAGAGAGAGTTTGTTCAGCAGTGAGGAAGCGAGAGTGTTTGGCGGCGAGGAAGTGAAATTGAGATTTTGAGAAACAAGAATGGGAGTGCGGGGATGGAGTCAGCCGAGCTGGTGAAGAAACGCTAATAACGGAGGAGGCGTGGGTTGTTAACGTGGGATATATTAGACAGAAATATAAGTGGGTGGCCAAATATACTCCAAATTAGTAGATTATGTGTTAATTTGGTCCGCTTAAAAGCTTAGTGTCTAATCTGAACTTCCTAAGTAACCCTAGTGTCATTTTTTAGCCTTATCCCTTTTCTATATTGTACTCACCCAATCTAGTGTCGAGGTTCCCATGGCAAAATGGAACGACTTTTTAGACAAGTAATTAAATAGAGTAGTTTGAACACAAAATAAGGTAAATAATTAAAGAAAATAGTTGGGTTAGTGGGACCATGGAAATATAATTGGTGGCGTAACTGATGTATAATGATGTTATGATGTATGTTTGTTTTAAAAGGTAATGATAACGCTGATTTTGGTGGTTGCCTTCCGGGTTAAAAAATGGTAACAATAACGTTATCGTTTAACACTTAAATTTTTCCAAAATGGAAAGTGAACCTTAATATGGGACGTCCAAAAAAAGTAAGAACGGAGGGAGTATTATGTATCTCACAAATTATTGAAAAACTCTGGCTTCGCGGTGCCATAGGATAGTAATCTGACAAAGGTAAACCAATTTGTTGATTTCATTTCAATGTTTTTCGTTCATCAAAGCAGGTTTGGGAACAACGGGAAAAAATGCAATGAATAATGTCTAATTGTGTGGCTCCATTGCAATTTTGAGTCCCACGCATATTAATCACTCACATAAGGGATCCATAACCTAGAAAGCACAATAACAATTAGTGTAAGACTTGAACGGATCTAATGAAGGCAAATACCTTCCCAGATGCCTTCTCAAATGCAGCTACCATTTCCAATACTGATGTACCCCTCCCAGTTCCCAAGTTGTATACTTCACATCCTGGTGAAAAGAAAACAGAAGATAGTTTACAAAAAAAAAACTACCGGATAGGGCATAGTAGAAAAATGTATGTGAACAATAAAATAAAAGCAAGACTTCAAGATATTGCCCACATTTTCACTCCAAGCCTTACACCGTTTGTATGATCAACAAAAATACAATAGACTTTACATTACAAATATCAACTTCTATCGCCACTTCTACCCTCTGACAATTTGGTGCAATGAACAGTGCTTCTAAAAATGCCTGATTGGTGCATTAGCTGGAGGAAACTGTGGGCCAAACTATTGATGTTGCCTAGGATAGGCTTAATACATTCTGATTACACATTGCATCAAAGAGCAATATAAAATCAATTATCACTTTGACCTCAGAGAAAATATTCATGAGCCACTCTACTACTATATCAACTAACACATATCCGTATGACCATATCCACAAGAACAAAAACAACCAAGACTTAGTCCCAAAAGCGTTTGGGGTCGGCTAACATGAATTGATATATGAAATCGTAGAAATGATAAAAAATGAAAATGGAGACAAACAAAAATAGATCCATCATCCACACGTATCAATCCTAACATCTGTATCCCAACTTAGAAATTAGATTACCATAGGAATAAAGAATCACTACTGAAAATATTAGAAAAAATAGGACCAAAACAAATAATGATGCACTAGTAAGCTTCTTTTTACATTCTCTCCCAGTGTGTACCTATTGAAGCATCTGCCAGTTTATTCAATGCAGCAACGTGACCGTCAGCCAAATCAACAATATGAATGTAATCACGTACCTGGAGAGTGCATCAAATAGTAGCCATGAGCAAAAAGCATTAAAATTGAACAGATCTTGGGAACTCATACTTAGGAATGCATGTTTATAATGAAAATTAGAACACATTGACCATACCCCTGTACCATCCTTAGTTGAGTAATCACTTCCATGAACTGTCAACGCTGGCCGCCTTCCAACAGCAACTTGTTGAATAAATGGCATAAGATTGTTGGGGATTCCCCGTGGATCTTCCCCAATATAGCCACTGGAATGGGCGCCAACAGGGTTGAAGTATCGGAGCAATATGATTTTCCACTCTGAGTCTGATTGGTGTACATCACGACATATTTCTTCAATGAAAAGCTGAGAGATCGAGTCTTTTATTAATTGATATCAGGACTTACTGTGGACATAAAAAGGGGATCTCAGTGCATATTGGCACCCCCGCAAGGCGAGGGTCCTAAGGGTCCCACCAGAGGTGTATACGGTGCAAGCCTACCCTAGTCATTTTGATAAGAGACTAGAGACCACTCCCAAGACTTGAACTTGTGACCTCTCAGTCACACGGAAACACCTAAACCGGTGTGCCAAAGCTCCCCTTCACTTAATGTGCACATTTTGAACAAAAATTTAAAATGCACGTGCATGCTTAATATTGAGCATGTTGTCCCATATGGAAGAAATATATAGGCTCCACACATTTTCTAATTCAATATGAGGTAATTCAATTTAATGATTTATTTAACACATAGGCTCCACATGTTTGCCACATCACCTTGTGTGCTCATTATTGAAAATGCCACATGCTCAAAAACAATTCTGTTCAAAATGTTCAACTTTAAAAAAAAGATTGATCTAAATAGTAGTAAAATATAGGTATTTTCCCAAAATAGGAGTACTGTGTTTTCCCAAAATAGAAGTAAGTACTCACATCTTGAAACCATACTATCATACTAAAATCATACTGCCATCTTTGAAATGCTTTAAAATGTCGTAATATGGCAGTATATTTCAGGTTCCTAGTACTTTACTCCTAAAACACAGTACTCCTTATGAAAAACATCTATGTTTTACTCCTATTTTGGGAAATTTCCCAGAAAAAATCAAGACTCATCATCTTAAAAGCCAGAATCAACCATGAAAGACAATTCAAGAAGTACCTTTGTTCGGCCATATGGATTTGCAGCATTAATGGGGAACTCCTCTGTGCAAGGGACCACTTTTGGCCAACCATAAACAGTGGCTGATGAGGAAAATACAAGCTGGAATGATGAAAATGCTAGTCAGGGCTACCTATAAATCAACTAAAGTATTACAAGGCCACATAGTGTGAGATAGAGATACCTTTTTGCATCCATGTTTTGCCATGACTTCCAAGAGAGCAATTGTACCTATAAGATTGTTGTTATAATACAACAAAGGTTTCTGCACACTTTCCCCAACAGCTTTTAATCCAGCAAAATGGATAACTGCATCAAACCTGCAAGTATTGAATTGATGGTTTAAACAAGATAGCAACACATAAAGCAACTACAACCAAATATAAAGATCATCCTTTTACATGGTCAAGACCAACATATGCACAACCTTTAAATGAATTGTATTCCTTTAACAATAATATGTATTCTAATTACAAAATGCTAAAGCCTAAAACCATATAGCACCAACTTACTTGTTTGAAGAAAAAACATTTTCCAGCGCAGATTCATCACGTATGTCCATCTGCAGCTCAATCCAAAATTACAGGCATTACAATCATTTCAACATAAATGAAATCCAGCAAAGCTGAAGAGTGAAGATATCAAAATCCTTCAGCACAGTATTATGTACTCCCTCCGTCCCCTTTTAAATGTCTCATTTTACCATATTGGGATGTCCCTATTTAATTGTCCCATACCTTATTTGGTAAAGTTTGTGTGGCTCAAAATCATTCTTACTTTATTCTTACTTTATCTATTAATATCAACCACACAAACCTACTTTTCTTAAAACTCGTGTCACCCTCTTCCGGGACATTTAAAAGGGGACGGAGGGAGTAATAACTATTAATTCACCAATATGCACATAAATGTATAGATAAACTGCATACAAACATTTTCTAGTCATGAAGGAATCCTCAACCCAAACAATTTCATGATCAGGTTGTGATTCTTCCCTGCTCGAAGAGAATAGCAATAGGCTCGAGGTCCAATTTCTGATAATCATAATCAATGAGATTCTGTGTGTGGTACCTGAATGAATCTCATGATTTTCAATTACCTAGCCTCTACTACTCAATGTGTAAAATAATTATTTCTTGTATTCTATAAATATTCAATGTCAAGCTATCGGTGTGTAGTCAATACTCACGAAAAAGTTTCTTTTTTTAATAATACACATGGTCATATGTAAAGTAAGCAAAAAAAAAATCATTAAGACCAAAACAGAAACCCCAAATGAGCATGAAAGAGACGCCATATTATATTTAGAAATGTCTAAAAAGTCAAAGAAAATAACGCATGAAATTATTACCAAATCAACATCGCAATCCGCAAATTAAATTAACAAAATTTTAAGGAGGAAGGGAGAGGCGAACCGAAAAGAAACCTGATGAAAGACGAGGTTACGGCCATAATCGCCAGCAAGCTCTTGCACTCTTTTGATAGCAAGAGGCGAAGAATTGTCCAAATTATCAACCACAACAGCCTTGTATCCGCCCAGAAGCAATTGCAAAACCGTGTGACTCCCGATATACCCAGCTCCGCCTGTCACCAGAATGTTCTTCGACATCGTTGCGACACAATCCAGTGACCAAAACCAAACAACCCCACTTATATACTGCAAAATTTAGAAGAAAAAAGAGAAATTGGTGTCCAAAAGACTGCAAATTTCTACTGAATTTGAGGCTTTCACCAGAGTTGGAGTTGAAGAAGAGCACCGGGTGGCGATTTTACGATGAGCAGAAGGAAAAGACGTGCACGTTTGCGGTTAGGTAGGGGAAGAATATAACCAGGCCAGGTGGTCCGGTTTGTTTGTTTTCTCGGCGAGGGTGGCGGCTTATACCCAAGAAAATGATACTTCCATTTTATACTGCGATTTTGACTATCAATCATCGTTTTGTACTCCACAAAAAAATCACATTTGCACTATTTAACCTGATTGAGAGTGGTCTCCCTGATACCTCAGGTAAAAAGTAATGCAATCAAGACTTCAAAAGAATGGGATTCCACTGGCACGGGTAGCTCGAGCATTGGGAAATTTGGATCAAGGAATGAAGTTTTGAATTCCGCGTCGACCGTGTGAAGGTTACTGCCTCTGAAATGTATTGGACATCTGACGCGTACGGTATATGGGTTTATTGTCGAGTTCGTTGGCTGAGTCATCGTGATTTACATCTTCTCACGTGGGTCGGGTGTGGGGGCTGGGTGGGAGATTCCACTTTTTAAGAAATCTTTTTTCATGTTTAACTTTCGATGTGTTTTTCTCAAGAAAAAATATTTTTTCAATAAAGTGCCATCTTTATTAACCATTATGGTCGTGGTTACATTTTAAAAAGTCCACTTGGTGGAACATGATTCTATGATACAATTTTTTATGTAACACATAATTTCTCATTTCTATGATATTTTTTCAACCAGTTACTTTTCGGTTGTTTACTTGTTTTCATCTTATTATTTCTTTATTTCCTTAAAATAATACATTCAAAATATTTTTTTTCATAATTTAGCCATTTCAGTTAATATTTCATTAATTTCAACTCTGATAAGTTAAATGAACAACATTTGTTCAATATAGATCCCCTTTTGAAACAATAAAGTTTGAAACATAATTATATTTCAGAATGAATGGAGTGTTTTATATTAATCTATATCTAAAAGTAGAACAATTTGATATATCCATTTTCACGTTCTCTCCTCATAAAAATTAGATACAATTAATTTTATTTTTTATTTGTTCCATCAACACACTTGACACAACCCACGTATTTATGTCTCACTTTATCCCTGCCGAGTCACATTCATATAATGTTACACGAAACACTTTGGCACAATTACAACGAGCCCACTTGGTAACCAACCTCATTTTCGGCTTATCAAGTTTATCGGTCACCATTTTCATTAAACACGTAATTTTTTATTTCGGATGGTGAATTGTGTAACAATAAGAAAAAGTAAATTAGGGTTACTTTTATGGTTGTATTGACTGAAGTTACCGTAAGAGATCATTTTAGCTATTTTTTATGCAATTTTTTCTTTATTTTATTAATAAAATATATTTTAAATGTAATTTTTTCATAAATCAGCAGAATCAGCCAATTCAGCCACTTTGATCAGAATTTCATAAATTTCATTTTTATGCGCTTATTTAGGTTTCCAACTCTTGGCTCCATCCATGTGTTAACTTGATCTCATTGTTAATCGAATTTATCTAGTTACAATGACATTTGATTTCTACTAGTTTCATTCAAAAATCACCATCTTAAATCATTACCATCATAATATGTTTAATAGTAATGGTATTGCATATTATAAACTACAACGTAATAAGTAAAATATGGTTTTGATTTTGTGATACATTGACCCTTAATTGCCTCTAATATAAGACTCTAATCCATGCTCTATTAGAATATAACTAGCTTTCAAGTCCGTGCGATGCACGGGCAGTATGTAATTTAGCTAATTTGAAATTTAATTTCTATCAGATCACATATAATGTGATTTAAAAGAAAAATAAACTTAGTCTAATATAGAATTTGTTTGATAATACTAAAGTAAATACAATTAACTTATTTTGTTGAAATTGATTGAATTTTGGTTAAATAGCTGGAATCTTCTGAATCATGAAAATATATATGTGAAATATATTCCATTTGTGAAACAAATAAAAAAATATATGAAAAAAAGTTAAATTGGTCTTCTACATAAGCATCTCAAGTAAACATAATTGTTATGAACTCAATAATAATAAAAAAATCTATATTTCTTAATTGTTAGATCTTACATTTTACTCATTAATAAGAACGTTTTTAATTGAATTAAAATTTCGGGTTTGATTTGGTATGAATTAATATGGTCTATGAAATGTCTGTTTTTTATGTGACTTATTGTTATAATTATTAAAGTTTGATCTGATCTGATTTAATCTGGAACTCAAATCAATCCAATTAAAACATTCTATTAAAATAAAAGTAGGAATTCGTAAACCTATAAAGATTTTCTAATTTGGATTAGGAATATATTTCAAAAGTGAAGACATATTTGAATTTTAGGTGTAAAATAAAGAAACAACCAAAAAAAATTTACTTATTTGACTAATCTAAACATATTTACTTGTGAAAATATATATACTTTATGTTGGTTATAATTTTTAATTTCATTTTTAATTATTTACTTATTTGAAGCTTACTAATTTATTAATAGGTGTCAAATTGATAAGTAAACTAATTTGCATATTTGTTTCTATTTAATTCGGTGTAGTAAACTAATATAAATTAGTTTCCATATCAATAAACGTTATTAGAATTTCACTTTGATAACCATAAATTATTTTACTTATTTGAAGCTTACCAAATTAATTAAGGTGGATTTATAAGGATTTTTGTTTGGCTAAAAGGTCAAGTAGGTACATGAACTAACTTAAAATGTTCAATTAGCCCCTTATTTAGGAAGTTCTGTCCGGCCGTCGCCAATTGGAGCGGTTCCCGATGGAAATTTTTGATGAAATTTTTTTATCATCTTCTTCATTAAGTCTAGTTTACCCATATCAAACTTCAGCTAAAAATTAAATCGTGAAGGCAGTCAAATAATTTTAAGAAATCTACTGCGCTGTTTAAATGCGCAGTTATCTTCAAAAACTCATTTGACTGCCTTCCCGCTTGAATTTTTAGCTGAAATTTGGTATGGGTAAACTAGACTTAATGAAGAAGATGCTAAAAAAATTTCATCAAAATATTCCACCGGGAACCGCCCCAATTGGCGACGGCCGAGCAGAACCTTCTATATAAGGGGCTAATTGAACACTTTAAGTTAGTTCATGTACCTATTTGACCCTTTAGCCTTTTTGTTTCCATATCAATATGCAATCAAAAATAGAATCTAATAAAAACAAAAAGGTATAAAAATAAGTAAATAATTGTTATATATAATGACATGGCAGGATTATGTGGCGCTTTGTATGCTCTTAAAAAGTTCCTCTTATATATATATATACTAGTAAATTGATCGCGCGTTGCGCGAATGTGATATGCTTAACAATAATTTAGATAATATGAAGGCAGATTGAAAATAAATTTTAAAAAATTGTAATATAATTTTAGTGATTCACATGCTATAATCATTCAATTTTTAGTATGATGGAATCTTGTGTCCATTAGTCAAAGTTATATAATATGATTACCACATTTAAGGTGATAACCGATATTCCAATATAGATAGATACACGGACAATTATGGAGTAAAAGTTCACGGACCCTATAAACATAGATTCATGCATGTAATATGGTCCAGACAAATGAAGAAAAGTGAAATGGGAATGTAAATGCTTACCTCAAGAGATACATTTCTAAAGCGGATTTCAAAGAAACAAGTCGCTTCCCTTCAATACTAAGCAAAATTGCTGCATTCTTTAAGACAAAAGACAAAATTATAAGTTGTTGTGAAAAGGTTAAAAGGAAAATGAGATCAGTGCATGCCGGGATCTAAATCAAAATGTAATTTAGCAAAATCTGAATGTTTATTGCCTCCAATGCATTTCATACTATGCAGGAAGCAAAGGTTGAGTTAGCTTGAAAACCAATACCATTTTTTGCATTACAGTGGATAGAATTGACAAAGAAAACTTGAAATTCTGGAACGAAAATGCCATGATTTGAGGGTGTAAAAATATTAGGGCGAGACAATTTCCTGAACCTATGGTGAGTGGCAGAAAAGAGAGGGAAATGAAGATATTGGTAAATGAACTCGGGATATTTTCTATATGTTTATGTAGCTGACCCACTTATTCTAGATGTGTATATATTATGACAGAATTCTAGTATAGCATATTAGGCTTCAATTAATTCATTTAGCAGAAACGCTCTAACTGTAGGATACATTAGGTCTTGGTTATCTGTGAGATTAAGTGTTATTCTTTTGAACAAAATTGTATACTCGTATTAGGCATGAATCAAAAGTCAAAACTCATTTAAACATAACCACATTTGATACAAAGTGATCTCAAAACAATTTTCAAAATGAGAACATAATCACTCAATCTTTGTGCACGGACTTAAGTTGACATCATAATTCAGAATATCACATCGATATCGTTATTATGCATATTTCGGGACGGAGGTAGTGTAATGTAAATTTTTTCACAATTCAGTAGATTTGACCAATTCAGCCGCTTCAACCAGAATTTCGTAAATTCAACAGAATCAACCAAAATATAATTTGACTGATAAGACGTATAAGCCAAAAAAAAGTCACCAAACAACTCTTATTTTCATTATTTCAAATTCTTTACAATAGTGGGAACATTTAGCAACAAGTAGATTACTCTTACATCATCCCGATTTGAACTATTACTTTTAAGTTTTGTATTCAATTCATTTTGGTGCAGTCCTAAATTCTAATACAGCCTTCAACAATCCAGGCAGATTAGAGGAGTAAAATGGAAAAGGTTTAGCACCAAACCAGTCTGCCACTCTACTCTGCCATATTGTATACCAGAGAGTGAGAAATTTTAACGCATTTACCACGTCAGAACTCTTAAAATTTTCTACAAAGCAGTCAGCCCCCACATATAAACTGCTTCTGTTACTAATATATCCCATGTGCCAAGATGATAAGCTCAATGAATTGACTATACTAAACATGCATAGGGAAAAGAATCTATTAGAATTCAGAACAGAGACCAATCCTAAAGGGCAAAAAAATAAACCATTCCTAAAGGGACCCTTGGTGAATCCAATCGTGTCCAGGGACAGGTAGACACAGGTCGGCTGTGGATTTTAGTTACAAAAAGTACTTGAGTAGTCCAAAAAATAAATAAAAGATATTGAAGCCAATCCAAAGATTAAGTTGATAGTTAAGACTTCCTGTCCTATGGAGGGGCATACATGAATACAAAATTAAACAGAAAAGTTGAAAACAAGCAAAGAGATGCGATGGTAATACTCATATATCAATGGTAATGATCAATAAACATCAACTATTGGAGGGGGATGGGAACTCACCGAGATGTTGATCAATCCGCGTGAAAAAGACGACAGACCTAAGCAACCCTCCATTTATAGAAGCACCGGAGGAAGAGACGGAAATCATCCGAAACTGAAATTTCATTGAATATAGGAATTTATTTTTCATGCTCCAACTTCCGTAACGCAGGTTGAAGACGATGGCTGTTTAGCTTCACAAACGATTCTAAATTTCTGATCTAAAAAAAGAAGCAGGCAAAATGATTTGGAAAACAGTTCTTCATGTAGAGAAAGCAAAGTAACACACGGATTTAGACGCTGGGATTTGCAAAGGATTTCTAATCTAAAGGTTGAACGGATCTGATGCTCCAACTTCCTTAACGCAGGGATTTAGACGGCGTTAATCAATTAACGAGCGGTAAACGTCTTCATCTGCACAGTTCTTAGCGTACAACAATAGTAGCACAATGTACATGTAGAGAAAGCAAAGTTCTATAAGGATTTAGCACACGTCTAAGCATTTAATAAAAATAGGTGTCCTTTATAAGATAGGTTAAAATATATATATATATATATATATATATATATATATATATATTGATTTGATAATTATTTTGAACACTGGTATCATCTAAAGTCTTCATGTGATTGCATGGTCTCGAATATTAGTTCAAAATTACAAAGGATATGAAATTTTACTCCGTACATTTCTAATTGATTGGGAGGATAACTAAGTTAC